CTTTTTATATTACTTTATATCTTGCTTTAATGGAACTGACTTTGTAATGGTTTTAGATTAAATATGTACTGACAGATTCTTTTTCAAGACTGCTTTTTACACTGCTGGCTTTTTATTAGAGCCTGACAATGTAATATTTCCAAGGATGCTAAATAGGTCAGATTCCCCACTGGTGTAAATCTGGAGTAAGCCCAGTGATGTCAGTGGAGTTACTCTGGATTTAAACCAGCATGAGAGAGAGCAGAATAGACACAGTTCCAGCAAGTGTGAACAGGCAGGAGTGTCATTTGTGTATGGTGGGTATGAAATTACTCTAAAATCTAACAAGGGCCTGCTAGAGAATGAGACCTTTGGGAAAATGGGGGGGTTGAACTGACCATCGTGGGGATAGAATTCTACAAGGTGGTTCATTAAAAAAAAAAAAAACTATGAAAAGTTCATTACTTCTTTGTGATCTTTCCCAACTGGAGAGAAACATTTTATCACTGGGATTGCAGGAATACCTAAAACACAAAATAGGTTGCCCTGCTTGTGTTAGGTGTAACACACACACCTTCTGGGCGTTGAGTATTGTTCCATCTAGAGGCACTGAGAGAACTTAGGGTATACCTACACAACAACACTATTCCGAAATAACTTAGTCCTCGTCTACACAGCAGGCCGTTATTTCAAAATAGTGTCAAAATACTGGACTTCTTATTCTGACTCCTGTAACCCTCATTGTACAAGGAAAAAGGGAAGGCAGAGGAAGAGCGCTCTTTTTCAAAATAAAGGCTGTGCTAGATACTCCCTATTTCAAAATAAGCTATTTCGAAATAAGGTACGCAATTGACGTAGCTGAATTTGCGTAGCTTATTTCGAGTTAAGCCCTGCTGTGTAGACGCACTCTTATAGAGAGAACAATGAGTCTGTTCGACAGCCGTAGGCCATGTCTTCACTCCACAGAAATAGACGCTGCCACGATCGATCTTCCGGAGTTCAATTTAACGAATCTAGTTAAGCTAGAGCAGGGTTACTCGACACCAGCAGGGGCACCTTCTGAGTTCAACTTAGTGAGTCTTAACTAGTCGTTAAATTGAACTCAGAGGGCGGCCCCGCCGGCATTCGGTTCCCCAGCTCTTGCCAAGAGTAAGGGAAGCCGATGAGAGCGTTTGCTCTCGTGGTCTTCCTGCTGTGGAGAGGACACCAAGCTTGGCTTAAGATAAGCTGACTCCAACTACATATTCTATGTATTCTATGAAGCTGGAATTGCATACTTTAAGCCAAGCCTCTGGGACTAGTGTAGACCTGCCCTGAGCTAATCACCGGCTGGCATTTAGTTCAGGCGGTAGAGGTTCATGCACTAAGTCCAGAGGTCCCAGGTTTGATTCGATTACATAGGCACTGTACAAACACAGTGAGACAGAGTGCCCTGGAGAGTTACAATCTAAACCAGTGTTTCTTAAACATTTTAAGACTGAGGAACACCAAACAATAATATTTTTTAATCAGGAGCACCAAGGATTTTTTGTTGAGAAAAAAAAAAAGGTTGGGGGAAAAAGTGGAAAGTTATTAAGCAAAAAAAACCAAAACAAAGTCAGGAGGAAAAAGGGTCGGGGAAAGTTATTGAACAAAAATCCTTTAAGGGCGGCCATTTTGAACTCTGTTCTCCGTGGCACACCTCCAACTGCCTGCCACGGAACACAGTTTAAGAAACATTGATCTAAACAGACAAACCCTGGGCAGAAGAGGATTGGTTATCCCTGTTTAATGCACAGCAAGCTGGGGTGTACTGCTACCATGCACCAGCGTGTTATGCCCTCACTGTCCATGCAGATCCTGCGACTGTGCATTACAAGTTTCCTAGCCATTGATTTCAGGAGGATCAAAATTTCACCCAGGGAGCATAAACCCTGTGTCCAAAAGAGCAGCAGGGAATAAATGCCAGGCCTCCTATCACCTTCGCTCTCACCTGAGGTCAATGGAGCGACGCCTATTTACACTTGCTGAGAACCTGGCCCAGTAGGTCCAATGCAGCAGCGTGTGCCATGCAGAAGTAAGCATGAGGCGCAGCGAGGCGTTGCCGTAGTTACGTTCCCTGCACTAGGAGATAGCACCACTGCGGAGGGTTTTAGCCACGCCGTGGTGCTTGCAAAGACACCCTCATCTGGTTGACTCCGACGTGGCGGCCGTGGCACCGCTGCAGACTTCCCTGCCAAATGGCTCCCGGGGTTGCAGGTAACCAAACCAAGCTCAGAAGCCCGGGGCTTGAGACAGTGGCCGTGTTATTCCTCTGCCCTGACACCCGCTGCTGCAGTCGCCTTCAACGCCCAGCCAGCTTCCCACGAGGTGCATTTCAAACAGGCTTTGCTCATGACATCCAGAGAGGTGGAGGCATGAGCATGTTGCACTGGGCGTGCCCTGGATTTCCTGACGATGAGGCTGCATGTCTCTGAATCACCCGCGGAACGTGTCAGCCTTGTGCTTTGGCACCCGCACATTCCTGTTTGTTTTCCTGTGCCCCCCCATCTTAACACCTCTGCTTTGCTCCTGCTTACACCAGGCCGGGCGGGGGGAGGGCTTCACAATCAACACCAGAGTGTGAATTCTCTCTTTACCCCCCCCATTCCCAGTGGGGATCTACCCTCACTCCGCCTTCCTGCTTCTTGGTTGCTCCAGATGGGATGTGGCCCAGGTCCATGAGAACGAAGGCAGATGCTTTGATGATGAAACCTCAGCGCCGCACTTTCATTTGGCTGAAAGAGTCATGCTGACAAGCCTGCAATTCCACTGGGTCCCCCCTCCACCCACCCTCTTTGACCCTGACTGTCTTTCCTGCAGGCCACGAGGGATATGGGTGATACTCTGCTGAGAGCCGGCCCTTTTCATTAAGCCACCCAGCCTTCCCGTGAGGGGGATAAATGTTATTATCCCAGTTTCGCAGATGGTTACACTGAAGCGCCAAGAGATGATCCCGTCTGTCCAAGGTCTTGCAGCAGATCAGTAGCAGGGCTGGGAATTGGACACAGGGGACCTGACTCTGACCCTTTTGCTCAAACACCAAACAGCATCCCCCTCCCTCTATTGGGAACACAACCTCCAGCTCCCTGGCCTCTGCTTTCACTAGTGATCCCCTCATTTTTTTTCCAAAAGTTGGGGAAAGAACCCAACAGTCCGGATTCCTGGTGGCCCTGCTGGAACTAGAAGACTACAAGATGGAAGAATCCCAAGCATTGTTACAGGCTGGGGACCGACTGGCTAAGTAGCAGTTCTGCAGAAAAGGACCTGGGGACTGCAGTGGATGAGAAGCTGGAGATGAGTCAATAGGGTGCCCTTGTAGCCAAGAAGGCTAATGGCATATTAGGTTGCATTAGGAGGAGCATTGCCAGTAGATCCAAAGAAGTGATTCTTCTCCTTTGTTTGGCTCTGGTGAGGCCACATCTGGAGTATTGTGTCCAGTCCTGGGCCCCCCACTATAGAAAGGATGTGGACGCATTGGAGAGGGTCCAGCGGAGGGCGACCAAAATGATTAGGGGGCTGGAGCACATGACCCACAAGGAGAGGCTGAGGGATTTGGGTTTGTTCAGTCTGCAGAAGCGAAGAGTGAGGGGGGATTTGAGAGCAGCCTTCAACTCCCTGAAGGGAGGTTCAAAGAGGATGGAGAGAGGCTGTTCTCAGTGGTGGCAGATGACAGAACGAGCAGCCATGGTCTCAAATTACAGTGCGGGAGGTCTAGGTTGGATATTAGGAAAAACTATTTCCTAGGAGGGTGGGGAAGCGCTGGGATGGGTTCGCTAGGCAGGTGGTGGAATCTCCACCTCTGGAGGTTTTTAAGTCCCGACTTGACACAGCCCTGGCTGG